TATTCCAGAACAAAGTGGTTTTAGAGAGCAAAGGTCAACCATAGATAATATCATAGATTTGGAAAGTGACATTTCTGAAGCATTCGCACTAAGGAATAAATGTCTAGCGGTTTTCTTTGATATATCAAGAGCTTTCGATACAGCCTGGCACGATTATATAATAAAAAAATTACATCGTTGGAACATCCAAGGTCACTGTTTCTTCTTTATTAAAAACTTCCTTCAAAATAGAGCTTTCAGAGCTAGGACAAACAACACAACATCAGGTATAATGAGTCCAGAATCCAGAAAATGGCATTCCTCAAGGATCGGTTATAAGTCCTACGCTCTTTATAGTGGCAATGAATGATATTCTCATAAATCTAAAATCACCTATAAAGGCACGAGTTTACGCGAATGATCTTGTAGTTTTCTGCAAAGGTAAAAATATACAAAACATATTTGGTCACACACAGACCTTTATAAAACACTTAGAACTCTGGTCACAAAAAACAGGTTTCTGTTTTTCCACTGAAAAAACTCGTTTCATCCTGTTTTCTAAGAAAAACGTCACTAACATCCCTAACCTAAGACTATGTGATGAGGACCTAAAACGTGTAACGTCAATAAAATTCTTTGGCATCACATTCGAAGAAAATCTAAGCTGGAAACTTCATATAACAAATTTAATCTTATCTTGTCACAAGCGATTAAATCTTCTTAAAACTCTGGCCAATAAAGAATGGGGTGCGGATCGCCAAACACTTTTAATGTTATACAGAACATTATTCAGATCAAAATTAGATTATGGATCTACTGTGTATTTTACAGCCACTAAGACACTGCTAAAAAAACTTGACAGTCTTCACAACCTATCTTTACGTATAATATCTGGACCTTTTCGCACAACACCAATCGAAAGTATTTATTGTGAAGTTGGTGAACCGTCCTTAGAAACCAGAAGACTTTAGTTAAGTGTAGCATATGCCGCCAAAACAGGTCTAACCTAAAAAACCCTACCATTTACAATTGTTTTACAGAAAAGTTTCCAAATCTCTTCATAAATAAGCCAAGAACTGCCAAACCTTTCTACGCAAGGATTAGAAGCTATTTAAATCAATTAAACTACACGTTCCCAGAATGCTTTTCTTTCCAATTGTCCCCAATTCCTCCATGGCAAATAAAGAATCCTCAGTGCCTAACCCGCCTCATTTATTTCAACAAACATTCAATAAACCCACAGTTAATCAAATCCGCCTTCAACGATATGTTTCACAACTACAAGGACTATACACATATATACACAGATGCATCTAAATCAAATGAAGGTACTGGTGCTGTAATCATAACCCCAACATCGACAAATATATATAAACTCCCTTCAGAGTACTCCATTTACTCTGCTGAACTGTATGCTCTATACCAGGCTACCCTTGCTGTCAATGCATCTAATAACACCAATTATATCATACTCACAGACTCTCTAAGTTCCGTCCAGTCAATCCAATATGTCTACCCAACTAATCCTTTAGTCATCAAGATAAAAGAAGAAATCCACACCGCTTAACTGAATGGAAAAAATATTATATTATTTTGGATACCATCCCATATTGGAATTCCAGGAAATGAAGAGGCAGATAACGCTGCAAGCAAGTAGTGATAGTGCGGAATGTACAAAGACATTTACGAGTGCGGACGTGAAAGCAACGGTTAAATTTAAAGTGCGATATATGTGGGAAGAAAAGTGGAAAGTGTTATCGGCAAAACTAGGCGATGTTAAAAAATCGATAAAACTCTATCCCACATTACCAACAAGTCGAAGAGACCAGGTAATACTAACGCGACTTCGACTGGGTCATACGCGACTAACGAATAGCTACGCGTTCTCCAACAGACAAGAACCAAGATGTGACAACTGTGATGAAAAAATAACAATCAAACATATATTGGAAAAATGTCCAGCAATAACGCCAAAGCGCATATTGTACAGTATACCCAACAAACTAGGTGACATTTTAGGTTTTCAGTGCAATATTTCAAACATTAAAAATTTCTTAACCTCAATTAATATTTTAAATGCTAAGCTAATATTATAAATGTAATAGAAATTATTGTTCGCTATCATTGTTTAGCTAATAGCCAATTTGGCTGATGCGATTTTGTTAATAAAAAAAATATTATAAGACGAAAGACATTTTATTAAATGAAATGTTTGAAATGACCACAATCTGACACTAGCCAATTAAATGTTCGAATCCATTAGTGTGATTCCATTAGAATGATATTAGGAGTGGTGTTTAAAATGTTTTCTCTAATACGTTCTTTCAGCTCTTTGACGTTATTTGGTTTATTCGCATTGACTTTGCTTTTCAAATAACCCCACAACCGAAAGTCTAAGGAGGTTAAATCCGGAGGACGAGTTGGTCCTTCTATAAACCTTCTTCTACCTAAACATCGATTTGAAATTATTTCTTAAAGATAGTTCCGCACATCATTCCTTAAATGAGGCGGAGCATCGTCTTGTTAAAACCAGATGCTACTAGAGATAAATGGGGATCGTCTTCATTAGAAAATATTACTGCTAAGGCTGGGATAAAGTTAAGACATAAAAACTCTAACATCTGCATCCACATTGCTATCGAAAATTATACGTTTTCTATTCGATTTCCAACCATTCCAGCCCAAACATTAACTTCTTGTGGCACTTGTGTATGACCTTCTTGGAACCAATAATTGGACTAAATCCGGAGAACCAGATGGTCATTTAATAAATCTTTTTACATATCCGTCGATTTGGAAATATTGTTTGAAGATAATTCCGCACATCTTCTTCTTCTTAACGTGCCCTATCAAGTCCCCTTGACGTTGGCGATTAACATGGCGAAACTGTCTCTGTCTCGAGCTATTCTAAATAGTTGCTCAGCTTTCTTTATTCCTGGCACATCATTCCTTCAAAAAACGGAGCATCGTCTTGTTAAAACCAGATGTTATTGACGGTAAATCTGGATCGTCTTAGTCTTCATTACAAAACATTACTGCTCATCCACATTGCTATCGAAAATTATACGTTTTCTATTCGATTTCCAATCATCCCAGCCCAAATATTAACTTTTTGTGACACTTATGTATGATCTTCTTGAAATCAATGATGTTACGAATATTTATTATTTGTATAAAATGTATTTAGTTAATTTTTAGTTCTATCATGTTACCCAAAATTTTCCGTTGCTTCTGTTCTATAAACTATGTCAAATATAATATCAAGACGTCAGAAAACAAACTGTCACCGATTAGAGAAAAAATTAAATAATTTAATAATTTAGCAGACAGCAAGAGAACAGTAAGTAATGGGAATTAATTAGTTCTTTTATATTGTTAATTTTATATATTGTAGGAATTGAGTTGTTTTTTCGCAAATAAAAACAGTAAACTACTAATCCGTCAATTGCTGGCTGTCCAATAAAGATAAATTCCCAACAAATTATGTTAACTCCGGATAACCAGGTGCTAGTCAATAAATCTTCTTCTACCTATACATCGATTTGGACATACGAAGAAGATATAAGCAGCATATATAATTGAGTTGCAAATAGATGAACTAAAGAGAAAGTAGAAACAAACTGGGAAGGACGTGGAAAAGGTGAACAAAGATGTGCTTCGATATAATAACATAACTAAAGAAATTAAGTAGTCGTCATTGAGACTGTGGAGATCTATCACACCATCAAAGCTTCAGGAAATAAAAAATAAAATTGGACCATGGCAACCACTCCATTTATCTAGACGAAAGCAAATGATCATTTACCGTTTACGACTTGGACATACCCAGTTTTCCCATGAACATGTGTTTAAAAAAGAAGAACGCCCAATTTGTGATCAATGTGGTTCAAACCGTACAGTAAACCATGTGATAGTGGAAAAGTTTTCTGCTTGATCGTATTCACGAGGTAGGAGAGGAAATGAGCATTAAAATAAACTCAAACAAAACCAAATTTTTAGTGTTTAGTCGTGACGCACATCCCGATGCAAAGCTTCAATTGAACGGAGTCCAAGTTGAGAAATTTCACAAAATGTCATATTTGGGAACTGTGATAACGGACCAACTAGATCCAGATGTAGAATAGCAATGACTAAAACTACTTTTATGAAAATGAAGTCATTTCTTTGCAATAACCATCTCAGTTTAGAACTAAGGCAAAGAATGGTTAAGTGCTATGTTTGGTCTGTACTTTTGTATAGTGTAGAAGTGTGGACGCTAAAAGTATCTATCATGAACAAAATTGAAGCACTGGAAATGTGGATTCATAGACGAATGCTGAAAATAGCTTGGCCAGCAAGAAAAACTAATGAAGAAGTACTAAGGACCGTCAACAAAGACAGAGAACTGCTAAACACTGTTAAACATCCAAAAATGGCTTATCTGCGACATATAGTAAGGAAAAGTCGATATAAAATTTTACAACTGATCCTTAAAGGCAAAATAGAGGGCCGTAGAGGTGTAGGAAGAAAACAAGATTCTTGGTTAAAAAACATTCGTGAATGGAGAAGCATTCGCAATGGTGATCGCTAACGTCGGATAAATCCGATATGGCACGCGAAGAAGAAGAAGTGGAAAAGTGCGAAAAGTTCAATATCCATGTAATTAAATACCAAACAATCTTAAAGAGATTTTAAACTCAAATAACAATATTGATAAACTACTTTTGTTTTTAAAAGATTGTAATTTAATAAGTAAATGTAATTATTTGTTACCGTTTCGCTAATAACCGTATTAGGTTAAAGCGGATTTTTTTGTAAATAAAAAAAATTGATAGGTTTTTTCGATTTTTTATATTATTTACGGGAATAAAGTTATTACCGGTATGAAATTTTTATCTTGTACATAATGAAGTTCTATATTGCACGTTATTATTATATTCTGCTATAAGCCTTACATGGATATATATTTATAAAATATTCTTGTTAAAAAGCGCGTTTCAATTATTACTCATAATACGTTAAAAAAATAAAAACACACTTACTTGAAGAACTAACGCTCTCATGTCAGCACTTTTATCCGGTGGCAGGGCCAGTCTGTTGTTACCCACTTTCAAGGTTTTCAAAAACTTTAAATCCCATAAAGTGGCCGGCAAAACACTCAACAAATTCTGATCCAACACTAACTCTTGCAATCTGCAAAAACAAAAAACGAAAGTTAATCCTCAGGCAGCTCACTTCGGCGGATGCACATGCGGGACACCACCAAGGTTGAAAATTCTTCACAATTTCCTCCGCTTAAATAATTATTTATTAATTTAAATGAAATGTTTTTCTAGATTTTGATCGAATAACGAGACTTGAGGTTTTATGGTTGTATGGGGAGTTGGAGAATCGGCAAAAGTTTGGTGTTTGTGATATGGTTCAGTGGACTAAATAGTTGTGGGCAGTGGCGTTACACACGCAATGAGTAATTGGTATTCTTCTAATAGTTTCTACTTCTTTTAAATGTTAGTTCAAAGTAGGATTATTTTAATACTATTTTGCCATTTTTTACGAATCTCATGAGATCATTGAAATGTACCATTTTTGCATTAACCGGTCACAATGTACTTTTCATTGTTAAAGTCTAGTCTTTAAATTTATATCATGAAATTTCGGTTCTGATTTTGGCAACAAATGTAAGGCATTTGAAATATGCCTAAAAAATGCCGAATTTAAATTTTCACATTACAAAATATCTAAAATATTTACAACTGCTATTTTCCAATTACACTAAGTACTTTTTTTACTTACTTGGTAACCAATTATTAAACGTCTTTTTTAATCTAGATTAGAAAAGGAACTAGATGAGATGGAAAGAAATATGGATGTATAAAAAGAATACAACAACCTCAAAACGATGATAAAAAAAATTGCTTATGGAGTATTAGGAACAGAGAACAACGACAAAAAATATCATGAACCACCATGGATAACAGAAAACGTAAAAGAAATGATACAGGAAAAAAAACAAATGAGATGGAAAGAAATATGGTTGTAGAACAAGAATAAAACAATATCAAAACGATAATAAAAAATTGCTTATGAACTATTGGGAACAGAGAACAACGACAAACAACACCACGAACCACCATGGATGACAGAAAACGTAAAAGAAATGATACAACAACAAAAATATATAGGAAATGGCTAACAAATAAAATATCTAACAATAGAGTAACATATCAAGGGAAAAACGGAGAAGTACGCAATCAAATAAAAGAAGCACAAAACAATTTCTGGAAACAAAAATGTGTCCAAGTTGAAAATTTAATTGGTGGTTCCCAGACTACGGAAGCATGGAGAACTATTACTAATCTAAAGAAAAACACCCATAACTCCTTAGGCAACTTAATTCCTATAGAAAAGTGGCAAAATTACTATAAAAATTTACTCTAAGGGTCCAGATAGGAATACAGTATGAAGAGACAAATGGTAACATTAATACTACGACCAACGAGGTCCATTCTGGATTAATTAAAATAAAACCGACGATCTCCAAGACCTGGCAATAAAGCTGTAGAGTTACTTAAAGCAGGAGGTCTACTCCTAATGAAACAAATAACTTTTCTAATAAATCAATGCTGTGAACAAATTAAAGTACCATCTGAATGGAAAACCGCTCACTAAGTTTTCACCTTTAAAAAGGGTAATCGAAAAGATCTTAACTGCTACAGAGGATTAAGTATCCTACCTACTTTCGGATCTATCTAAATAATCGGAAAGTGGAGAGAAATCGTGAGCACAATTAAACAAAGAAAGCTTGAATATCTAGCTCACATATTGAGACACGATAAGTACCGTCTGCAATTGATTGTCCAAAGGAAGATTACAGTAAGCGAGGGCCAGGCAGGAGAAGACACTCGTGGCTCCAAAATCTGCGGAAGTGGTTTGGGCTCACATCGGTTGAACTATTCAGAATCGCCGCAAACAAGATAAAAATTACCATGTTAATAGCCAACGTTCGCAACGGACAGGGCACTTGAAAAAGAAGACCTACTTTCGGGAGATTGTTTGGAAAGATAATAAATGGAAAAGTACAAGATTATGTAGGACGTCTAATTAGCGAAGACCAAAGTGGATTTACGCCTGGTGGATCTTGCACTGATAACTTGTTTATACTTCAAACATTTAATAGAAAAAATAATAGCAGTTGGTACCGAAGTACATCTAACCGTCATCGACCTAGAAAAGGCGTATGATACAGTTCCAAGACTTAAATTGTGGCAAGATTTACAACAACTCAGCATTAGTCAATAACTTTTAGAAATAATCTCAGAAGTATACAGGGATAACACTACTTACCTAAAAATGGGAAAATGGGAAATATATTATCAGAGCCAATAAAAGTAACTAAAGGACTAAGACAAGGATGCAGTATGTCACCCTTACTGTTTAATTTATATATTGAAGTAACCCTCCAAACTTCGAAAAACCACTGCCAGGGAATGGGAATCTCCATAGGAAATGACGTACTGTTCTCTCTGAACTTTGCGGATGACCAAGTCGTCCTAGCTTAAGATTCTTACGATCTAGAATTTATAATAAAGCGTATATACAAAGAATATGTAAAATGGGGGTTACAAGTCAGCATGAAGAAAACAAAATATTTAGTTATCAATTCAGATGCAAGGTTTGAAGTGTTGGTAGACGAGGACGTGGAAATCAAACAAGTAGAAAAATTTATGGTTCTGAAGCTATTTTCTTGTTGAGTTTTAAAGTAATTACTATTTAAATGGGAATAATCCAATGGGAATTAAAGGTTAAAGTACGTTTATTGACTTTACAATTTCCACTTCGGAAATCGTTCTCAAAATACAAACATTAGTATATTAAACAAATTTTGTTTTTTAAAGAGATGAGTCTGAGGTATCGTTGGAAAGTGGATGAAAAATGTGATTGAATGCAGTATGTGTCGTGCGCATCGGAGCATGCCAAAAGGGCATTACGTCATATTTTCATTTCTATTGGTCTGATAGTGGCATATGAGGGCTCTTTGAAATACAAGTACGTTAGACATAAAAAAGATAGCGACATTACCAAAACGGCACTTTATCGTATCTTCGTTGCTATTCAATGATATATGACAATGCCCATTCTCAACATCTATAAAAGTGAGTCAGATAAGGGGTTCGAAACCTCGCACCCTTGCAGGTATCGTAGCTTAAATCCAATGCCTTTGATCTCTCGACTAACTTCGTGATCGTATTTTCTATGAGAAGCAATCGTTTGTGATGTGAAAGTTTAAATTCTGCCTTTTTTGGGAATATTTCAAATGCCTCACATTTGTTGCTAAAATTCAAAAACGAAGTTTGATGCCATAGGTTTAAAGGTTGAGCTTTAATGATGGAAATTCCATAGTGACCGATTTTAAGAGAACTGTTACACAAAAATTTTACCCAAAAAAATTTTACACAAAAAGTGCTCAGTCTACATTTTATTTCTTAAAATGTAAATTCCAATTTTTAATGAAATTGGGAATGCATGAAAGCATACTTAATAAAAAAAGAAGAGGAATACTAACTAGGATCAGGTCGTAATAAGGTTCTGGTTTTTACTAATTATTAATCATCTATTTAAGATATATGATATATAATGTCGCTTTACAACGTTCTTCGACGTCTTCCGATTTCCAATCTCGATCTCATTCTATCGTTCCATAGATCGTCCTCCAGTTCTCTTTCCTTGATTTCTTTATCAACTCCTTCTCTCCAACTTCTTCTAGGCCTTCTTGGTCTCCGCCTACCTCTTGGTTGCCATTCAAGAATTTGTCTTGGTATTCTATTCTCCGGCATTCTCCTAAGATATATGATCAAAATATTAGTCAACTTGATGTTTCCCGTTAAAATATGTGTAAGTGACTATAGATCTAGAGTACGAATAAGTAACAAACTCTCAGAATCGTTCGAAATAAACAGTGGCCTGAAACAAGGAGACGCGCTGTCAATATGAATGGTGCCAATAAATATTGGAGAAAGCAGTAAGAACAGCACAAAGTGACACTGAACTACTAATATTAAATGGACCAAAATAGCATACGCGGGTGACAATGATATTATGGAAAACATAATCACCAATGTAAAGGAAACTTTTAATAAATTAGAGATAGAGGAAAAAAGATACCGGTCTAAGGGTAAATGAGGAGAAAATCAAATATGTGTGCAATAATAGACAAAAGAAGCAAGATAGAATAGGGCAAAATGTAGCAATAGACCCATATAACTTTAATTACTATTTAACTGGGAATAAGCCACAATTAAAGATAAAAATACGTTTATTGACGTTTCAATTTCCACTTTGGAAATCGTTCTCAAAATACAAAGAGTAAATTAAACAAATTTTGTTTTTTGTTACATAGTGAAAAATTCTTCTAATAATTTAATTTTATCTGACTCATTTATATTGACAATTCAGACATACATTATGCATTTTAAAGTAGACGACTTTAAAATGATATTGCCAATATTGTTGAATTGCGCTCCTTGGACGACTTTATTTATAAGATAGTTCATTTGATTACATGAAATCAACTTTAACTTAAGAATATCCATCAGAAAAAATCATAGCATGAAGGGATTAGAAGAAACCATAAAGGTTGGACTGTATATTTTGCGCTGGTTATGAACTTCTTGTAGAAATAAACTTGAATAAATTAATTAAAACTTTGAATGAAAAACGTGTTTGTCAACTTGAAAGGAACAATTTATTGATTTCATGTAATCGAATGAACTATCTTATAAATAAAGTCGTCCCAGGAGCGCAACTCAACAATATTGGCAATATCATTTTAAAGTCGTCTACTTTAAAATGCATAATGTATGCCTGAATTGTCAATATAAATGAGTCAGATAAAATTAAATTATTAGAAGAATTTTTCACTACGTAACAAAAAACAAAATTTTGTTCTGAAGCTATTTATCTTTAAGTGTGGCTTATTCCCAGTTATAAATAGTAATTAAAACAAAATTTGTTTAATTTACTGTTTGTATTTTGAAAAAGATTTCCGAAGTGGAAATTGAAACTTCAATAAACGTATTTTTATCTTTAATTGTGGCTTATTCCCAGTTAAATAGTAATTAATTTAAAATGCCACAAAAAAATAGCTTCAGAACCATATAACTTTGAAAGGGTGGAGAGTTTTAAATAACTCGGAG